ATCGAGTTCTGTGCAATCCCCAGCTTTTTGTTGGTTTGAGCTCTAAAAACATACTAAATTGCTATCACTGTACACTAATCCGCACATAACTTCCAGATGAATCACACACCTGTCATTGGAATATTGGTGTACATTTACCTTATGTGTATGCACTAATTTTATCTTACAGGCTTTCGTTATGCAGCTGCAGAGTCTGAAGGTGTGCCCCGTGCAGAAGTGATCGATGAAGATCTGACAGAAGACCAACAACAAAATCACAATGTCATGGAGGCAGTGGACAGCAGTTGTGTTGGACAAGTGGAGGTTGAGGTACCAGCTGCAAATGTGGACAGTGGCGAGCGGACAGACAGCATCGCGGAAGCTAAAGGGCAGACAAAGTATTGTGTGTGCAATGAACAGGGCAGAGGAGAAATAAACACAACACTGCTTGATAAGATTGTTAAGGTTTGCTGTGTTTTGGTGAATATGTGCCCCAGTGTGGTTGTCAAACCAGGGCCAAATGAAACTTGCTCTTGTTGACTATTCATAAAGCTGTTGTGTTGCATGTGTAGTTCATTGTAAATAATTGTACTTTGTGTGAAGTAGTTTCAATAAAACAGAAAAGAATAGTATATTTGTTTGTTTGTTTTTTATTCTTGATCTGTTCACATGTACTTAGCAAGTACATAAAAATGAAATGCAAACTATTTACATGGCAACACACAGCTGGCATCAATCTTGAACCACAAAATGAAACATTACAGGCTATTTAGAGCAGCACGTTGCACATGCAAATCAAAAACTGTAACAAGGAAGTTGTTTAGAAAGTTATCAAGTTCAAACTGACTTACCTATGTCTTAACGACAACGTACTCGCAGCGTGGAGGCTTAAAGATGGACAAATCTTGCACCCAGCCATTTGTGAATTGGATGTGGGCCTCCAGGGATGTATAATTCTTAAACTGGTTTGCTGTGTATGCGCTGACTCCACAGACAAGGTATGCAAAGATATCGGGATAGGACAAAGGCGGTAGGTCATCTGGGTTTCCACTCCACTTCCTTATTTCATACGGGTCCACATTACCGATGCACGCAATTTTTTCAAAGTACCGTCTCTTGGCGTCTGGGTGCAATCGGTCGCGATACAGCCCTTTGTCTTTTGCGCTGATTTTGAGCATGGTTCTGGCAGTCCCGATTCCAACACTCTAACACTGTGTGCTTGTTTTGCTTTCTGGCCTACTGGCATGGCGCCGCGATCCCACAATGCACTGTGGCGTGACGTCAACTCCAAAGCCCTATCTTGCTTAAGGATACCTTGGCATGAACACTTCAGCAACCAGGGATTGAACAACAAACCTTTCAGGTGTTTCTTCCTCATAATTTTGGGGAATTAAACCATCAGTGTCTTTGTTTAAGTTTTAAAATGTTCACTTTCTTTTAGTGCATTCTTACTTTACTTTCCCTTTGTGTTCTTCTTTTTTTGTGATAATAATGAAAAAGAGAAGGAAGAGTCTCTGTTCCTTCATGATTCCTCTGCATATAAATAATAATAATAATAATAATAATAATAATAATAATAATAATAATAATAATAATAATAATGTTGTAATTGAAGATCATTTTCCAGTTAAAATTAGTGAACCATTTAAAACATGGGGGGGTATATAATTTCTGACAAGCTGGCAAAACTCATCATAAAGAGGAAAATAGTGTATGCAGTGCAGCAACAACCGCCCATGCAATTCTTTTGGTCATTAGATGTTATCATTAAGCTGATCATCAAGAGCTGAAGGTATTTAATTTTTCTCATGTCAAGGAAAAGTAAAATAGTCCTTATCATTTATCTATGCGTTGTCTTCCACTTACCAGGGTCGTGGGTGGAGTGAAGCCTATCCCAGCTACCTTAGAACGCCATTATATGAAAACGCCAAAAGCGTCCCCCGATGTCACGGTACTGGGTCCTGTGACCCAGTGTTTTAGTATTACTGTATTTTTTTTGTAATTCGTGTTCTGGTTTGAGTTTTGTTTATCTTATTAACCCTTGTGTGGTGTTCATATTTTTGTTACTCAGCCAGTGTTCATGGGTCTGGTGGACCCGCTAGAGTTTTGGCTTTCCAAATTAACACTATCAAACAATTTTATGTTAAATTACTCAACAGATGTTTAGTTCATCCCAATTACAAGCCACATGAACAGCAAACATGGTTATTTTTTCCCTTTACCTTTGTTAGATCACATTTATGAATTAATGTGCTTCTCGGTTTTTTTGTTTTTTTTTATAAAATGTTATAAAAAAATAAATCAGTTATAATCAAGTGGAGTGAGTGGAAAGACACAACACATTTACACGTGAAGCAATATGTTTCACAACTAAATGGGATCAGCTGCTCATCAATGGTGACATTAGGCCCAGGGTTGTAAAACAGGGGAGGTGGTGCACACACTTATCCCACACTGTCCTGATGGCAGCTAGCTTGTCTCTCTGCCGTCGAGCTGGTCTGTCGTCTCGGTTATCAAAACGGATAATCCTGGAAATTTTGTGGAAGTTTTCCAGAGACATTGATGCACGGAAAGGTTCTTGCCGGTTTCTGCATCCCACAGGGATTCTGTGGATTCCCCTTTGGACCTGAAAACTCCTGCAAGGATAAGAACCCCAAAGTAGGCCTTTGGGGTTCTTAGATGAATTTGGTCCATCTCCTTCCACCTCTCTCCAAAAACACACCTTCCTTCTAGATTACTGCAATCCAGAATAATTTTCTGGATGGAATCTGGGATGAAAAGCTCAAATGAAGACTTGATGTCCTGCACATGAGTAACTGTCAGCCGTGTTGGCCCTGGCTTATCACAGTAACAGCTCTGCAGGGTGGCTCATTTCTTGGGCAAGAAGACCATTCAATTTCACCAGTTATTGACATCCATATTTCTTCACTTGCTGTCTGGTGGGCTTGTTCTGGTCCTGGAGCTGGCTGCAGATGGGGTACTCGTCTTCGTTTTGTTACTAAATGGTGCTCAACCTCATCCTCTTCTTCAAAGTCACTGTCAGACTCTGAATTTTCAGAAATGTGAAATATTCTGAAACCTCTTTGTCAACATCATCATCCGAAGCCCCTCTCTCTTCCAAAATCAATTGGATGGCCCTCGCAGCAGATAATCTTTTGCCATCTTGATCAGTTGTGATAAAGAACCACACTGGCAAAGTCTTATTTATAGTATTATGCCCCTAATTTGCAGGTGGGACAGGGTATGAGAAAATAAAATTTGGATCCCTCAAGAAAGAGGGTAAAATGTGTGGGAATGTCAGAGCAGACGGTGTTGTAGTTGAATTTTCAACAATGTTGCAACTTTGTGCGGGAGCAGGAGGGGAAGAAAACACTATCAGCAGCACCAGAAAGGAGGAAGACAGAGTGTGGGAACACAGGACCTACACTTTCAACACTTTTATTAGACCTGGGTCCAGTGGACCCGAACACCTTGTATGTAATGTAAATGCGTGGGGGGAGGTACAGTATGAGGTCATTGAAAATTAGTTCGGATTTATGTTCTTCACAGAAAATAAGCCAAAGCCAATGAATTTCAGGTTGAAAAAATAATTAATTGTTTAATTTTTCTTTTGAGAAAAACTGAAAACGGTCTCACAGACCCGAACACCATACAAGGGTTAAGTGTTCCGATGCCTGGAGTGCTGTGTTAGTCCTTTGTTTTGCAGATCCTTTTGTGTCTTCTCCCCTGTTCTAAGTCTCCCAGCTTCATGTCTACCTGTCATGTTTTATGTCTCTGTGGTACTTGTTAAATTTATGTCATGTCTGTGTCTCTTACTGTTTCCTGTTTATTTTGGAAGTCTTGTTTCCATGTACTTAGTTTTCACTTCCACTATGGCGTCATTATTTTCATTCCAGTCAGCTGTTTCCTCATGTGTCTCCACTTCCCCTGATCACCTCATATGTGTGTGTATTTAAGCCCTCCGTCTTCCTGTGTTCAGTGTGGTGTCATCTGTGTTCCCCTCCCCATGTCTAGTTTTAGACTTCATAGTGTCCCCTTCACATTTTAAAGTATTTTCAGCATGCATAGCTTTCACAGTCTCTCTAGTCTTGTCATAGTTTATTCCAAGTTTTCTTAGCTTGGTCTCAGCCTGTTTGCTTAATTTTTGTATGCTCTCTTATCAGCTCCAAATAAAGACTAGTTTTTCGTTAAAGTTAATTCCGTCTCCTTGTCAGTGTCCGCACTTGAGTCCTCCACTCATTCTCCATTCGGTCTGCCTCCCGCAGACCGTGACACCTACTTCATAAAAAGTAGCTATGTTTATCCTCACTCACTTTTAGTAGTTCTACTATAGTTAACTAAGACAATGCAATGCTGTTATTCTTGGTCTCACTGTTTCTCTTCTGTCTTGAGTTTTCTCTATCAATCTTTCACGGGAGATATGATTCAGGCAGCTCCTCTACACATATGCCTCACTCCCACTAGAACCTAGTCACTCTAGTTGCCCCAGTTCAGTCATTTGTCATTATGACCGAGTACCAACTCAATGTCCTTGGGGTCACTATAGCAATGTGGCCTAAAGTCCCATGATGTCATTTTTATGCAACACAAGCACAACACTTTACTTTCATTACTTTCATATATTGTTTTAGTAAGTGTCCAAAACATACAACTTTCATTTATATAATTTTTTCAAGGGATCTTATATCTGTATTCACTCTTGTATGCTTTTCATACAAGTTTCACACAAGACAGATACAAACTTTATAAGATTTATATATATCTTTTCCATATGGGGATGTTTAAGTCAATGAAAGCAGTGAAAGTCAGGTGTTGGATGATTTAATGCTAAATGGGCCAGGTAAAATAATGTAATCCATAAGCAATTGCATAACAATAATCAAAACCACATTTGTGTGTTCTTTCATCATCATTAAAAGATTTCCTGTGTATTAAGGGAAACTCCCCATACAACAAAGGCAGCAGTGAAACAGGCTTGTCCACTGCTAAAAGCCATCACATATAAATGCACCAGCTCTATCTGCAAACATACAGAGACAGCAATTTCTTTCAGTTAGCAGTCGATCAAGTGGCCCAACGTGGTAAGTATTTGCTACATTTATAATCGCAATGTTTTCATCATATTATGTAAAAAAACATTTGTTTCCGTACTTTTTCTGTCAATATTGTTTTTTAACCAGCGATTTCACTGTAGACTATAATCAAATGAATGGGTTCTGCATATAAAGAAAAGGCAACCATTTTCCAGCTCCTCTCTTACAAAAATAGACCTTAGAACAAAGTCTTGCAAAATTCTTTTACTTAATGAAAATGTATTTTATTTAAAAAGACATCACAGCAATCGTTTCATTTTCACCTTTTCTGACAGAAAGTACTGATATGAAGCTCACGTTGCTTGTCCGGGAGACAGGGGGAAAGAGGCAACAGGTGAGCTTAAATATGGTGCATGCATAGCAGCATGTAATGGAGAGAACAAAAATGAACACAAAAACGCAAGATTAACACAAAATGAAAGCGTGCTTTTAAGAAATAACTACAAAGAGCTTCATATAAAAGAGAGCAGTCTCTCTCAGGCTCCTTCAGTGTTCATTTTGCTCTTGTGAAGGGATGCTGGAGAACCTAGACCAGTTTGTCTGTTCACTTGTCTGTTCATCTGACATTCAATGAGATAAAGATTTATGGTCCCAGTGACTGAAAAACAATAGTCCCTAAAGTAAAACCAAAGGCACATACATTTTGAAGGTAGCTCATTTGTCTCTGTCACTGTTGTCTTTTTATGTATTTTGGAGGTTGATGGAAGACGACTCTTATCACCTTTTTAATCTTTTCTTTCTTCCTTGTTTGCTGCAGTTATCTGTGAAGTGGACAAGATGTCTCATCTGAACACAGACTTGGTCAAGTCGTTTGGCAACTGCATCCCTGCAACACCAAAGCCAACAGTCCCCGCCGCAACAGGAGCCAACAAAATGACCAATGGAGCAGTCACACCACCAAACACCAATTCAACATCCACTGACCTGACCAATACCACTGCTACTGACCCTATTAACTCAACTATCATCGCAATGAACTCCACCTTTGGGTCAAACGGAACAGGTGGTGTAAAAAGACAAAGGCGGCCACTCACTCAGGTAGACATGAGAAGAACAAGTTTAGTGGGGAGGAGCGTGATGACAGCGAAATGGAAGACGAGGATGAAACAAGCAGTGAGGAGGATGATGAATCCAAAGGCCTTTACGGACTCTTCCAGCTGCCTGACAGGAAGTTCTGTGATTCGGGATTATGCCCATCCAAAAATATGTGCCATGCCTCCTGTAAAGGTGAGTCATTGTTGCAGAAGGAAATTGACATTACTTATTTAAGTGTTCCTTTTAAAAATGATTGCATATTAAAAATTGATTATTTTTTTCCTTGCAGCCTTTACTGACGATGACATAACTAATGATATTGCTTGTGTTATCCAGACTGGTTACTGGAGGTAAGTTTCTGGAAAGCACAACACACACAGGTCAGATAAATAACTGAAACTTATATGTGGTGCATTCATTGTAAATGTACTGTAAAACAGTACCATCATTAGTCACCAGCACAGCTTCAGTGCTCTGTTTCATTCCATCCTTAACTTTGCTGTACAGACTGAACACCATTGTTCCCACAATATTCCTTGATTTGATCCTTTGATGATGGAAGTAGAGAATTCTCTGTGAGATGCTGGTTAGGCTTTATAAAAGGAATCAGGATCCATTTCTGTGTATGAAATTAATCACACTGAAAACTCATGTGTGCAGATTTAGCTCACTGTTTAGAGCATGTAATTCATGTGCAATATGGCCAGTGCAGAGGCCTGGGTTTGAATCTGTCCCAGGATCAATTATTGCATGTCTTTTTCCCAGCTTTCATGTCCTTTGTCCATAAAGTGTATTTAAAACAAACAACTTAATTTAAAGAGACTAAAATAGAGAAATACAACAAAATTGTGTTGTCTAATTACTTCCTTTTGTTCTAATCAAACAGGGATATCATGGACAGAGCCTCAGATTCAGGTCGTCACACAGGGAATTTCTTCAAAGGATGCGACTAAACGGCTGTGAGATCACGGTTTCTACTTGCAGGATCACGTCAGTTTCTTCACCAGATCCATCTCCACTGAGCTGTGATTGAGGAACAGCATGCTCCATTTTCTACAGTGCAGCAGTGTTTTGTTTGTTTGGTGCACTGATCTTTCAATAACAGCTTGTATCTGCATGTTTTAATGGTAATGTCAAGTGATGTAATCAGCCCTCAGAATCCTATGAAAAAAATGTTTGTTTTTTCAAAAGCGTAAAACTCAGCACTTTACATCTGGTATTTGTCTTTCAATAAATATTGCTTTGCATCATCTCTATGTGAGTGTGTGCTTAAATCCAAAACGCAACAGCTTCAATCTTATAAAGCTTGCCTATTACACCCTATTTATTCAAAAGCATCACATGACAAACCATGCTTCGTAAAACGTTGTTGCAACCAAATGACTAAAAAAAAAAAAATCTTTTAACAAATGAACCAAGCAATCACTCACTACAAAAACCTTTAAAATGATTCTCATATGAAATAAAACTGGAATAATGTGAAGTGAGGTATTTAGAAAGAAAAGCTCTTTGTGAGTATTTTGGACCAAATGGTAAAAATCACATTTAACACATTCTGTTGACGTTGGCAGATTAAAAACCATCCCTTCCCACATAACCTACATGTACACCTAACCTCAGGTGACCTCAGTGGCTTAAATTATGGATTATGGTGGGGTTAGTCTAAATAAGGTTTCATTTGATCATCATCATTATTATTATTATTATTATTATTCACTTTGCTAAGCATGTTTTATAGGCCGATGGATTGTCATCCAAAGAGCATAAAAAATAGTTAAAATAATAGACATTTGTGGATGTGTCTGGAAAACTACTTTTCAAATTATTTGCCACTCTATAAAACGTAGCTACATTTATCTTTGTTTTCACTCGGTAGCTCTAGCTAAGTGAGGCAAGTTTTCCTGGTACTTTTGGTCTCTCTTTCTGTTCTGTCTTGAGTTGCATGTATCAGTCTCTCACTGCTGATGTGACTGTGAATGCAAGAAGATAATTCTTTTTCAGAAATGTTGGAAGCAGAAGCACAAATGGGGAATATTTCAGAAATGCACCTCACAGTTTCTGAGAAGACTGAGCAGATATCAGCTTGTATGCTGACATGGTTTCGAAACAGTGGGGGTGGGAGTGGCACTAAAACTAATATTAACAAAACAGGCTGCTTTAAGGCATGACTCGCCTTTTATAACCTTGTGCCAAATATTTACATTTGATTTGATTGCAATACAATTGACTCCCAGGTGCAGCATAGTGTTGCAGAGGTAAATAGTTGAGTAAACATTTTTAAAAACACTTAAGACCCCGATTTCGTCACACCGTAACAAGGCTATTGTTTAGGTGGAGTGATTGGAGCTGGTTCGTCTGAAACTAAATATCATTGTTATTGTGTCCCTTGTGTTTCAGACTTCCTGGAAGCTTGTGCTGTCATTCAGCGTGTTTAGGTAGTGACACGGCAAAAATAACCACAGCAAACTACTTAGACCAACCCCTTCTGCAATCTGTGTTAGACTGGAAAACCTTGGGAAAACTTTGCCCCAGAAAGAGAATAATATACCTGATATGTTTGTTCCTCTGCATAGACAGCAGCTGTAACTGGGAATTTCCCTAAATTCTGAATTAATAGGAGATCCAAGGAGATGTCTCTACAGCTTTCTAATAGACAAATATACTAAAGTGTATCAGGGTTATGTTTCCTGATCTGCCTGTGAATAATCCCTCTGGTTTATGTTATTTGATATTCAAGTCAAGGAAAGGTTTAAACGTCATGCTCCGTCATCATGAGCATTTTGGCATGTGGGCTTTTGTGTATGAAATACATGCTGATCGGCGTTTCTGCCGCAAGTCCCGTCTCTCTTGTTTATTTATCTCCCACTTTGCGCCAGAAAGAGGAAACTAGCGGAGGTCACGTTAAACAACAGAAGCACCTTTAAACTTGATCAGCTGTTGTTAGAATTTATTTAATATTAATTTCTAGTATCAGCTGATGTTTGCTGGAGCCACAGCTGTAAAAGCTGCTGGTCATGATATCGGTTTGGTTATGTGGTGAGAGGGAAACATGAAGATGAAACCAGGAGATGTCCTTACTGAATCATCAGAGCTGAACAGTGATGGAGAAACAGGTTTACCTTTTAGGTGACATGAATGAGTTGAAGGGAAGTTATGAACTGTTTCTGAGAGACAAATAACAGCTGGTAAATGTGCCGGGGCGGGTCTAGCAAAGTTTTGCAAGGGGGCAGGTAGGGTTTTAACAGGGAATAGGGGGACAAAGAAAATACTTTTCTTTCTTATTCTCATTTAAAATGTCTAGCTTTTAAGCAAATAATTATCCGAATCTTACAACCAAAGTTTTCATCTGATGTAAAATTATAGAAATCCTTTTACAAGTTTTTTTTCCAGGGTCCCAACATAATTTCTTCAGAAGTACTGTATCATGATGCCAGTATTTTCCAATTCATCTACTATTTTCTAGATTACTGTACCAGTACGTGTGTAAAATGCCATCAAAAAGTCAATTAAATTTTATTCTTTCTCACCTGTCTTTCTGTCTCCTTTCACTTTTATAAAGGTTGCCATGTTAGAAAAAATATTTTGCCCTGCCATGCTGTTTATTGATGTGGATATAGTATAATACACTAATCTGATTATTATTTTTAATATTCAGTAATGGTCATGTCTCACCTCTAGTCTTCTCTGTCTTAATTTCAGGTTTCCACCATATGTTGTAGATAGTTCAGGAAGTTAACTCAACCAAGCAGTCTTTGGGTTTCGGCTAAGTACTGTTTAGAATACCAGAATATGGAGGATGGTGTAGGTTTACGTTTATTAGATTGATACATATGTACCAACAACACAGTATACATCATTGTCACAACGACATTTGTTTTCATTCAAAGGCTTTATGGTTTTCCCTATAATACCTGGTGGGCCGGTCTCTAGTGAAAATGCCCAGGCTGATTCTTTTGTCCCAGTCCAGCCCTGCTCAAAGCACTTTATATTGTAAGGTGAAGGCCCTACATGACAAAGGCACACTGTGGAAGAGATTTATAATACCTAATAATTAAATTCAGAGAGCGGTTTAGACACAAGGTGAATGAGAAAGGTGACTGAAATAAAACATGGGAATCCCCTAGCAGCCTAGTCCTATTGCAGCATAACTAAGGGAGGGTCAGGGTTAACTATATGCTTTGAGTAAAAGGAAAGTTTTAAGCCCAATCTCAGATGCAGAGAGAGTGCGTGTTCCCAAACTAAAATCTGACCCGCTTCCACAGAAGAGGGGCCTGAAAGCTGAAGGCTCCCACCTCTGCAACTGGCTAGATACTGCATTTCTAATATGGTGAGGGCCTAATTCCATACAGAACTTATCATATGCACTCAACTTTCACCTTAAAACACTACAAAGTTTCCCCAGGTGCACGCCTGAACTACAGCTTAAACTAGCACCCACTGTTAATCAGTTGTGCTACTTTCTTTATGCAAATGTTTATGAAGCTGGAGAAATCTGCAGTCAGCTGAGAGCTGAGAAGAAGTCACTTGGATGAGTGACGAAATATTTATCCCACTGCAAATGTTATTTCCAGATGACATACAACAGAACCCACATTTTGGGATTTCCTTACCTGGATGATTAACATGCAACAAGACACAAGTGCCATAATTAATTCCTCTCTTTCCACTGCTGGTGTTCATGTATCTCTTAAAATAACCTCTATCACCCCCTATTCTTAAAAAAAAAAAAAAAAAAACTGGTCTAAATTCCAGTAACCCTTACAATGTTAGGCTTATTTCCAACCCTCAATTTTCCAGCATCCGCAGTATAATCTCAACACCAGTCAAACTTAATTAATGTTAACCAATATGAGCCATTTCAGACCGTTTTCTATTCAAGACACAATGCTTAATCAGCTTTTATTAAAATCACCAATAACCTCTTCCTCTCATCTGATGCTGGCCTTCTCACTGTCTTAGTCCTACTCGCTGCGTTTGACACCATCTCTCATTGTCTTCTGTTAGAACAACTGGCTTAATATATCTCTCTGACAATTTGTTCAAGGTAACACTGTCTGCGGTCCATTACCCTATGTTACACATGGTGTTTCTCAGGGATTAGTGCCGGGGCCACTGCAATTTATAATTTAACTCCTTGCTCTTGGAGATAGATAGATAGATAGATAGATAGATAGATAGATAGATAGATAGATAGATAGATAGATAGATAGATAGATAGATAGATAGATAGATAGATAGATAG